AGGAGAAAGCTCACAAAATGCTTCAATCGAGGAGAGAGAAACCAAGCTGAGGAGAGAGAAATTAAAGAAAAGGGGAAATCGAGTCTAACCCTAGGAGATAAAAAATCAAATTGTTTTTTTTTAAAAAAAATTTTTTATTAAGAAAGTAAGAATTTGAAATGATATGCTTTGGGATGGAATTTGAAATTTTGTTGAATTGGATTAAATTCTTTAAAGGCTAGATTTGAACCAAATGCAAATTCAAATTCTAGTATTACCCAAATAAGTTATTGGCCCAAATCAGAATTTCAAATGAAACCCATGATTCCAAACAAGCCATAAGAGAATTGTAATTAGGGAGCATGTTCTAGGTATAATAAAGTAACTAAATAAGTTAAGAGAACATAAAAAAAAGGTTAAAAATTAGTTAAAAATATTAAAGTAATAAAAAAATACACTTATCTGGCCTCCGATGTCATTTATGACATTTTCTGTACCAAACTTAATAGTTTGTGATGTAGAGTGCTCCCAATCAAGGTTGTGCTATTCTCTGCACCTAACCTATAATTGGTGCTATTTATGCCAATTTTCCCAAAATGAAATAATATATCTATTACATCGAGTGATTTCCTTAAATAATGTAAAAACATAAACTAATTCCTATACATTAGTACATTGATTTTAAAACTATTTCTCATAATACTCGTCTACACAGACTCGATTGTAAAGTTCGGTATTTGCCAGTATAAATCCGCTAATATTGTTGGCGGTTCTAGATGGTATAAAACTTCTAATGGTATTAGGCCTTGTTCTTTTGAACTGCATCTTTCTGCTTTGCCTGCTCAAAAGAACAGCGCCTTGATAGGCGTTAGAACGATCGCACATTCCACACTCATTCAAACACATTTATAAGCAAACATCTCACAAACCAAGCACAATGATAAGTAAGAGTTCGGTCCACAAGGAACGGGATATAATCGCTAAAGATATTAATACGCAAGCTAGTTCGAAGACTTTTGTTGAATTGGGGTTCGTCAAGTAGACAAACAAACTATTATTCTAAATCAAGTAATTAAAAGCACTAGGGAATAGGATCCACTCAACCATGGCAATTAGGCATATTGGGAGTAAAAGACAAAAGAGATAGCAAGGACTATATCTAAGACCAACCTCATGCAATTAGGAAAACAACTCACATTCCTAAACTTAGATCCCTCATTAGTTTAGCAATAGGAGATACATAATCAAATTGCAATAAGTAATGACATATATACTTAATCTACATTTCCATGTCAAACTAAGCATAACATGCCATCAAGCTCCAAATTCAAGGGTAGCTACTCCTATCATGAAGAACTAACAAGCAATATCATACAATCAATTTAATCACAAATCAAACATCAATACTTCCCCCAATTTTACTTAATTAACCATTAGGTTGAGTTTCACCCAACCCCTAGCAAGGAGGACTACTCACAATTCATTGTGAGTAACATGCAAAGTTCCAAGTTGGGATTCTAAGTAGTTCAATAATTGGGGGAAAAGTGATTCACTATGGATAAAACTAACATGCAACAACAATTTATCAAGATTTAGAGAGATTCAAGTGACTTGAAATAACAAAATAAAATCAGAAAATAAGTATAGACAAGTGAAAGAAGTTACTATTGAAGCTTAAAATGTTGAATAAATGTTGAAAATCTGAGAATGAACCTTGAAGTTTGCTTCTACAATGATTAGATTTGAGAGTTTCCAAACTAAATCATCAACTAATTTAATGAACTAAGGTGCTAACTAAGAGGAAGTTTGCTGAAACCTATTCTACTGCTTTCCCCCCTAAAAATGAATTAAAGGGGTAGTATTTATACTCCCCGAATTACATAGGGAAATTCGTCAAAACCCGAATTCAACCAGGATCGCCCGCTCCTCAACCAGGATCGCCCGCTCCTCAACCAGGATCGCCCGCTCCATAACCTTGCACGCCCGCTCCCTTGTTCTTCAAAAGATTGGCAGATTCAAAACTTTAAGGAGGAGCGCCCGTTCCTCGTTGAGGCAGATTCTAGCAAACCAACTAGGAGCGCCCGCTTCGGCTCGGGTGCACACTCGCTCCTCACATGATAAGAAACATGGCAGGATTATGTAAACTTTGCAGGAGCGCCTGCTCCAGAGGAGGTGCACGCCCTCTCCTCCAGGAGCGGCTTCTCCCTTCATTGATTGTTTGCTCTAGGTTCTTCCACGAGCTTTGTTTGCTTGTCAAAGCTAGTCTTGTACCTGCAATCATGGACAAACACATACAAAGAGGTGGCAAAGCCAAAATACAACATTTATATACAAAAAGGAGGGGTAGAAAAAGGAGAAAAGATTACAAAACAGGGTTAAAATCACCACAATAAGTGGTCAAATAAACCACTTATCATGCCTTAGAGGTTCTATATAAAGAATTGCTAATACTGTTAGAGGTTATATGCATAGAACCTCTAATACCATTAGTGGTTCTATTAATTGGGCCGAACTAGGTAAGGGTTCATTTGGTATCGCTCTAATTTTTCTGTTTTTTTGTTTTTTTTTTTTTGTTTTTCAAAATCATATGATATATGTCATATAATAAATCAAAAATTGGTCAAACTTATAAAAATCATGATAATTTTAAAAACTGACAATAGAAAAGTAGATACACCTTTTCTTGTTTCCTTGTTTTGGTTTTTTCTTTCTTTTTTTTTCAAAAAATCAGAAAATTGAAAACAAAAACGATGTCAAACAAGCCTTAATGTAAATGAGGTAGCTTCAACTTAAAATCACTAATGGAATTAGAGGTTCTATGCATAGAAGTATAGAACCTCTAATGGGATTTGCGGTTTTATAAATAGAACTTCTAATACCATCAGTGGTTCTATATATAAAACCGCCAACATTGTTAGTGGTTTTATATTGACAAATACCGAACACTGTAACGAGCCTACTTGGACGATATTGTGAAAAATAGTTTTTAAACGACCGACTTATGTAAGGATTGGAGTTAGTTTGCATTTTCTGCGATTTCCCTAAATAATGTAATAACATAATCTATTTTCTTATATACATTGGTTTAACAACTATTTCTCACGATACCATCCACGCAGGCTTGGTGTCAAAGTTCAGCATTTGCAAGTATCAACCGCTAACATTGTTGGCAGTTCCAACTAATATGAAACCTCTAACGGAATTAAAGGTTATATACATAGAACTTCTAATGGTATTTGTTGTTCTTTATAAACACAATAGAGATTGTTTGATTAGAGACTACAGTCTAATGTTAGAAACGAATTAGATCTTTGTTGCGTTTGATCTAAGGAAGACAGGGTTGGGGTTAGCTACCTTGGTAAGTCGAAAGCTCAGAACGCCTCTGGTTCCAGTGTCAACTAACTTCAGGTATTGGTCAAAACTTTTTATTTGAACATTTAATATTGCGAAGCATGGTGGACTATTAAACTTGAATGATAATTTATTTTGGTATATAATTAGTAGAATAGTGATAACTAAGTACCGCTTAAAGTCATTAAATAGAAAACACGTGAATATTAATCTTATTTTCAGTTATAAGTATGTCAACATTGAGTTAGTTGGTAATAAAAGAAGACTTGTTGGTATACCATAATAGTGACAAAATAAAAAAATAAAAAAAATCATACTAATTAGGGGTTTGTTGGTATCTAATTAAAGGTTCGTTGGTATCATAAGAAATATTAATTACACTAGGTAATCATACCAACCTAGAACTGCTAAAATTGTCGATTTAAAATATTTGTTATAGTCATCTGGTATAGGACAAAAGCAGTTCGTGATTTAGAATTCCTCCGTAGTAGTATTTTGTTTTTGAGAGTTGGACAAAATAGGAGGAAGTACTAATGACTCACGACTCAAGGAGAGACCTTGTAGAATGGAGGGAAAACAGATGGTGAAAGGAATTGAAGACCCATGCAGGAAATTCTAGACCAGGGGCCAATGTGGGGAGTCTCTCCCAACAGTTGTCATTGTGGACGGAGCTTGGAAAAGGGATAAAAAGTCAGGGTATAATGTTGTTGTGGCTTGGGTAATAAAGGTAAATGGTCACTACCAGGAAGAGGGTGCGATGAATGAAAGTGTTTGCAAACTCCAGCATATAGGCTGAGCTACAAGTTATCTGGTGGGGGACCTATCATGTGACGCAACGACACACAAACATTGAAGTTCTTACCGATAGCTTGGAGGCAATTAGACATTTACAAACACCTTATGCTTGTGCTTGGGTAAATAGGGCCCATATCAAGAATATCCTTTATCTAAGTAGGGAGTTAAATTACTTCTGTTGTAGAGAGTGAAGGATAGCTCAAGTGGTTAGAGCTTCCCTCCCGATTCTAGGAGATCCTGGAATCGATTTTCACCCCCACCCGTTGTGACTCTCTAAACACCAAAAAAAATTACTTCTGTTATAGCAAAGTGCCTAGGTCAGAGGTAGTTAGAGCCCACAACCTTGCCACTCAGGCGAGGAAAGAGCCCTAGCTCCCCCTTTTTTATTTTGATTTTACTACTTGTTTCCCTTCTGTGGAAAAAAAAAGAAAAAAATCTAACGGCTCATGGTTAGCCGCAAGTTTTATATCTCACAATTTTTCATTAAAATAGAAAGGTATAAGGAAGAGAGAGAAAGGAATAGTGAAAAGGATGGTGTGGGTCTCACCCTTTTGTTTTTTTTTTTTTTTTTTTTTTTTTTTTTGCAGACATGTATTCACGTGCATAAGGGACAAAAAAATTAGGGACCACTATTACTGAGAGTATATTTTGTACTATTAAACCTCTAGTGTAATTTTTTGAATTACCATTAAAAGTGTATTGTGTACTACCATTAATAGTGTATTTGTACCATTGAAAATTACGTCTATAAAATACCGTGAAATGACTTTTTTTACTCTTGTGAGGCATACCAAAAGTGGCTCACGACCATTTGAAACCCCTCGACAAAATAGTCATTGTACACATGTATACTTGTATGCCCATTATAAACATATGCACGAATGCACAATGCACCAACCCAATCCAAATCCATAGGACAAAAAGCTCGGTCGTAGAAAGAGGGATGAAAATGGCGACACTTCCACTCTCTTCCTCTTCCCTCAACTTTCTCTCTCCTCTCCTCAATTCCTTCACCTCGTCACCACCACTACCATCATCCAACCTCACCTTTTCTCTCTCTTCTCCCCGACGCTTCTCCAAGCTTTCTGTTTCGTCGTCAGAAGTTTGCGACGCTCCTCAACAATCGTTGATCATCGATCAATCTGCTCTCCTTGTCGAAGAAGCCGTCTCCGAGGATGCGCTTTGGGCTGCCGCTTGTCTCCGCATTCGAACTTTTAACGAATATAAGGAGGATTCTTTTGGCCTCGAGGTGAGCGTAATTTGCGATTGAGTTTTCATCGTTAATTTACTGCATTTGGAACTGGAATTTAGTGTTGAGTAATATAGATTGATCAATTGTTCTATAATTGCTTTGTTTTGATTGAAATTGAAGTATTGTGTGATGAATTTGTAATTGTGTGTTTGAGTTTTTGTTTGAATTATGTGATTCTATTTTACAAATTGTTAGTTGAAGTTGCAAATTTGCTGTTTGATAGGAATAGGAATTGCTTTAAATTTAAATTATTATCAATTCAAAATTGAGGTCAAGGAATCTAGGATCAAATGCTATGCTGCTTGTCTCCGCATTCGAACTTTAAACAAATTTAAAGAGGATTCTTTTGGCGTTGAGGTGAGCGTGATTTGCTATTTTAATTGGTGCCGGTCTTATTTTAAGTATGATGTCAAGGCTAGGGTTTTGGGCAAGCTTCATATTAATGCTATATATGTTATTCATTATGATTTTGCATTTTCTGTTGTCAATGACTATGTATTGCTCATATCATGTTTTATTTGTCAAGTTCTTTAGGATCATAAGAGGTACCTAGCTGAGCGAGAGTTCGAAGCATTAAAAGAACGTGTTGCAGGCAAAAGGGAAGGTTTCAGAAAGGTTTCTTGCATAAATGCCACTCTTCCTTTGTCTCATCTATCGGCCTTGTCTGGAGATCTTTGTACTTCGTGTAAGGTATGTTAGCCTTCTTTCTAATTGGATTTCTGTTTCAATTAGTGATATTACTCCATAACATTTTTCCTTTTCTGGCTCAATGGAACTTCTAGTGTCCATTATGGAATGTAATAATTTTTTTAAAGGCTGACAGTAAACCAATTGATACATTTTAAGTGACTGTTAAAGTTCATTTCAGTTTTTCAATTGATGTAATTGACTTCTAGACTTCTACATTTTTTTTTCTTTTTATGTATAGAGACATTAATGAACTATGGCTCTGCACAAAAATTATTTCAGAACTTGCCTTTCCTCTCCTTTTGTAAAGTAGCAATTTTTTCTTAGCATAATATGAATTATAGTCATAGTCAAGAAATAGACCCTCCGTACACATATTTGGTTCCTACTTCCTAGTGCATGTATATTTTTATTTTTTAGAATGAAATAAAGTATGAGAAAGGCCATAGGACGAAATTTTGCAGTATTGCTCAGTCTTAACATTTGTGACTTAAAAGTTCCAGCATCTTATTTGGAGGCATATTTAATATAAAAATTAGCTGAAATAGAAATATTAAGTGCAAGAAGAGGGGTGTGATCAGCTCACAAACCTTTTGTAACTTTTATCATTTTTGTTGGCACTTTGGACAAGTTAAAACATTGTAATAAAATGGTTGGTTCCTGAGACTCATTCTTATTAGCTTCTTCCATTTCAGTTTATTAGCATGCGAATAATTGCAATTTGAGAAAATGATTATAGAAGAGCACTCAAGAATCTACTGTTTAACTTTTGAGAAGTCCACAACTACCACCTCTCATATCCTATTGGATCTAATCTTCCATCACAGATATTACATTCTATATCTATATCAAGTAATAAGTTGAACCTGGCAACTACCCTAAGACCTAACTCTTCTACAGCTAAATTCGAGGACGAAAATCCCTTGAACTCTCCCTCTTAATCCAAAGCAACAATGAGTTGCTCATTACTTCTCCAAGGTACATACTAGGTGTACCTCAGCTTTGTTACACGGAATACCAAATTGGAGAACCAAAATTTTTATTTTTTAATCATGACTTACTAGTTGATAGGCTTAATAGTCTCCATTGCTGTCTTGGAATTTTTTATCAGATACTTCTATTGAACCAAAAGCATGTATGTCTAGTGTACCTCAGAGTCCAGTGCTTAGCTATCATCTCAATTTTGACAAATTAGGTTATTTTACCTCCTAAATGCATGTTAAGCACTGATCATTACACATGCCTTGATATTATTGCTGGTGTTCATGTTGTAACTCTGACAGTTACCTAGTCTAGTTGAATCATCTCCATGTGTCCATTGTGGTTAGAACTTAGATTTTATGAATTGAGTTGTTGAGTTTGGAGCTTGTCAACTTAAACTTCTTTAGGATCATAGGATTATTTTTGAGCTTGAATTGTTTGCTTTGCTACAATGTCATATGAGTCTCGACTTCTTTGGATTTTGTAAAAATAAGAAACCTATCCTTTTGCCTCATATGTTAATTGAAGTCTTTAGTCGTCTTGCAGGGGTGACTGATGCTTATTGATGGCCTTGGATACTTCTCTTATTTTAGTTTATGATTGAGTAGGGAGGATTAATATTGTTTCCTTCTAATTGTGAATAGGATGAAATCTGTTTGTCTGGACCGGGATCCCATATTGGATTGGTGAGGGGAGTGAGGTCGAATCGGTAAATCGGTTCGTAGAATCGTATGATCCTATGAAATTGATAAAAGGAGTAATAAAAAGGTTGCTACATAACTAGAAACACATTTTTAAAGCAATAAAAATGCTAAAATTTATAGTTTAAGTAGTTGGGTAGTAATTTTCTAGGCTTAGAGAAAAGGTAGATTGCTTTGGGCTCATTTAATATGTAAAAATGTAGGATCAAAAGATCCTGACTGATTCCATACTATTCTGACCGATCCTACATGATCCTTACAATGCAATAATAATCCAAGTGAAAAAACAGGATCCTATCCAATTGGACGATCCTACCCAATCTTGACTGATCCTACAACAATCCCGCTTGCTTTGCGATTCTGCATCCGATACAGATCGTTTACCTAAAATTGGATGGTAGGTCGCACAATCCAATGATCCAGATCACGTTTCTAACAACATTGTTGTCAGTAAATTTCTGCTAGATCTTTGGGGGATTTAATTCAATTAACATGTTGAGCGAAAGATATGGTTTGAACTACTCAGGGTGATGTGCTATATGCCTATATGTTTTCCATCTTCACCAAACATGGATATGCTTATTCATGTACATTATCATTACTCATTTGGTGGATTGATGCTAGTAGCCTTACCCTTATGGTAATATAGAGATTACCCAATACAATCATTTTTTGCTACACCCTTGTCCCATAATTGGTAAGACATTGAAAATTCAAAGAAATAAGGGAACTTGTATGTATCGCTTTGTCTTTCAAATTTTATCTACATATATAATATACCTGATTCCGAATGCAATATTAACCATATAATAAAAACTTTTACCAACTTTAAAGATGGAAAAAAAATACTTCATCATCAAAATTGCTGTGCAGATAGTTAAATGAGACATCATATTTGGTCCATTAATTTCAATTGGTTATCACTTATGATCTCACATGCCATGCAGTGTTTAGCTTATGGTTTTCCCTGTCTTACTTTTCTCTCTTGGAAAACATGTAAAAAAGTATTTTTCTCATCTGATTTTGTGGTCAATGATAATAGTTCTCTGATGATGGAGGATCTCGAATTGTGGTTGGGACGCTTGATCTTAATCAATGTCTGAGGCTACCTGATGAGATGACAGGGATGAAGCCACAGGTATCTTGAATTTGTAATTCTCTTTTGTGTTGTGATAGATATATCTCCTGCTTAACTGAATAAATAATGCTTGTATATGACTTGCCGTTTCCAACATTTTTTTTTGAGACAGCAGTGATTTACTAAAATGAAATTGATTTTCTTATTTTTTATGGTTAGTTGTTTTTTACATTCATTTGTTGGTTACAAGTAAGCTATCCTCAAGTGTGCTGAATTTGTGGTTTTCTATTCTATGGGGTTGGTTTTCTGTAAATCTTCTTTCATTGTGGAAGCTGATTTTTGGGAATTGTTTGACTCTAGATAGTACATGAAAGAAATAACCTTGTTATTTGGGGATTAAATCTTGGTTTGCTAGAGGGAAAAGCAAATTTTGATTTTTATGTTATTCTTTTCAAATTTTGGATACATGAAATTCTATGGCAATGAAAGAACTAATCTTGTTCAGATTTGCTGAAGGAAAAAAGAATATTTGGCATGAAAAAGGAAATTGAAAGTGTTATTCGGTTCCAAAAATACAAATTGAATTGTATATGGAATCTCGAACACATTGAGATCTAAAATTTTGAATCAAATCAAGTTAATGAAAATTAGCTTACATTATAGATGAATACTTACAATTTACAAATAACTCACCCAAAATGAATAACTAGTACTTGTATTGTAATTAGGCCTTCATCTCATTTGATGATCAAACTTTGTATTGTAAATTTCTTATCTTGTGCCCTAGTTACTGCTATCAAATGTATCAATTTACTATTTGAAATGAGGATATTTCATATAATATCTAGGTATATATAAATCTATATAATGGTATGAAAAAATCTTGATTATTTCCCTTATGTGTGTAGATCAAATAGGATTTTAAATTTTTCCATAAATGCTCCCTGCTTTATTTATTTATTTATTTATTTATTTTTATTTTTTTTAAGTTAAACGTTTTCCTAGTCCCGTATGCCAAAAATATTTTTAATTATCAATAAGTAAAATTATAACAATTGAATATTAATAGACTATTCATTGAGACAATTGCAATAAGTATTCACAAGAATGTATTTTTTCTTATGTATAAATCAATAAAATTAGTCAAAGTAGATTGGGTAAATAGTGCAAAAAGTCTAAACATTTCATTTGAAAAACTATGCAGGTTGCATAAACAGTTCATTTCTTTGAATAATTCTTCTTGAGTTGTCTTTGGAGGTTTCTAAGAATTTTGAATTATTAATTACTCAACATTCTAATGTGAGTTTGTTGTATAACATTCACAACACAAAAATATGAAAGACAATCATTTAGTGTTAATGGCTTAATGCAGTTCTTGAGTAATTAGTTAGAAAGACAATCATTTAGTGTTATTGGCTTAATGCAGCTCTTGAGTAATTAGTTAAACGCACACTAATTCTAGGTTCTTCCTGATCATCCCATATCTGAAGTCTGAACTTATTTTACCTCACCTTCCCTTTTTTTTAGTTGTGACTGGATTTTGTAGCCCTTATCCGAGCTTACCCAATTGTATATGAACTTATTCCTCTTGAAACTTTTGTTTAAGGTGAAAAGGGATAGAGCCTAAATTTTGCATCCTGATTTCTATACATCTATCGATGCTATTCAATTTTTGATATGAGAATTCTTTTGTTTCATGCATTTGGATTTAGGGAATTTCGAAACTATATTTTTTCATCAAATAACAATGGAAAATTTTGACATGACTCACAACATGTTTAACGCTCAGTTTTATTGGAACATTTCGAAATTAAAAATTTCTAATTGGTCTCTTCTCTGTGGCATGGTCACACTGACTCACATACACAATTGTGGCTGCCAAAGTGCCAAGTGGATCCTAATGTTAACTGATGTGTATGTTTTTCCATTGAGCTATTTGATAGCAAACTTTGTGAAACCTAATCCAACTTTGCACTTGCCAGGGTATTGGAGCTGATTTTTTGAGGGCTTATTTGAGCAATGTTTGTGTAGCCAAGGAATTGCACAGGAATGGATTGGGTTATGTACTCGTCTCAAAAGCAAAGTGTGTTGCTGAAGAATGGGGTACTGTCTCTGTAACTGATGGCTTAAGCTTTTGACTTAATGGATGTTTGGCAAAAAGGGTCATATATTAATGTTTGTTTAATTGATATTAGTTGCTGAGATACCACTTTGCTTCCTTGGTTCCTTACATGGCTACCTCAAATTACCAAAAAGAATCAAGGGAAAAAGAGAGAGGGATGAGAAAAGAAAACCTTTATCACCTGTTGATATATTTCTATTTTGTGTCTGGCCTATCTGCAGCAGTGCAGCTGAAGAATTTCTCTTTTGGGTTATTTGGGTTTGGTGTTGGAGTTTTTAGTTTCATATGGATGTTTGGAGTCTCTTGCACTTACTACAAGGCAGTATTCTGTTTAAGCTTTTACTGTACCTTGTAGCTTTTTGCTCATATGATATGAGACTTGGAGGCTATCTCCTTCATGCTGTGACTGGGATAGTATCCTTATCACTTTTTCATAAATGGCTTAAGGGTGGAGCATTGGCTTGGATCAAGTTTGCTTGGGCTTGCTGGGTAATAGAATTGAGTCATTGGGTAGGGTGGAGCATTGTGCTGCTGCTTAGAACTCAGAGGACATCAAAGGCTTCCTTTCTCCTGTTATGGAAGTATCTGACAGATACTTTCTGGTTCATGTATTATTTCAGACTACCTTTTCCTCCTTAAAATGCTGGTAGAGATTTGAACATAATGGTTTTGGATTCTATGTTGTGGTTTACTTGTAAATTTGTAATAGTGCCTAATAAAATTAATATTGATCCTCTCTTCTGCTGGCTACACTGCTACAGTAACCTCTATTTCAGTTTCTAGCATTCTTTTCTTGAAACTAGATAAATCAGAAGAGGTTTCTAGCCTTTTAACTTATGTTATGTGACTAAGTGAGGCCTATGAAGCATGGGTATGCCATCCAATAGGTGTATGAAGCACGGGTATTGATTGATAGTTTACTGATACATAGTATGCGACTAAGTTTATTGATATATAGGCGTAAGGTTCTCTATTTTATTGATATGTAGCTTGTTGATGTATAATTTTTTACTACGTTAGGCTTATGAAGCACGGGTATGCCTTCCCTCCAGGTACGGTACTGGTGGTGTATGCCCAAAATACATACAATGAGTACGACGCATGTGAAAATGGGGATGCCTTGGGAATCGGGACGGCTGGGCATTTTTTTCCTATGTACTCCATCACAAATTTAAATTTACAGCCCCAAATCCTACTCTCTTCTCTGAGTTTTCTCTCCTTAGCGGCTCAGTCACTTAGACATACATCAGCTTTTGCCATCCTTTCCTGTGATCCTCATCTCTTGATATCTGAAGCTTTGTCCCTTTGTTCCTCCTCCTTTTCTTTTTAGTTTTCGAGGAGGCTGGAAGTTAAAACTTAAGACGTGGTAGAGATCCTAGAGGAAGGGGTAGGGCTGGAAAGCTAGTAGAGTGATAGCCAAGTGATTTAAAATTGAAACTGTACTTATAATTTTGAAGAAGTGCAGCACATGTTTTCATCTCAATTAACATAATGTTTTGATATATTCTCTCAGGCATAACTGACTTATATGTTCATGTTGCGGTGGACAATGAATCGGCAAAAAAGCTGTATATGAAGAGTGGCTTCACCTATGAAAGTGATGAACCAGCATGGCAGGCTAGATTTGCAAACAGGCCAAGAAGAGTCATTCTTTGGTTTGGTTTACCAAACTCTTATAACTTATAGACATCAAAGCCAGGTTACCTTCTTATGCTGATGTCTTTTTTCACAATTCATTTTTCTTGTGTATATCTGAAAGGACAGGCAGTATTTATGTGGTTTAACTGTATAGTTTTAGTTTTGTTTGATTGCTATAAAGTATACGCAGTCTCCGTAAATCTTTGATCGCTGTATAGTGATTCTTGGATCATTATTATTAATTGCAGAATTCATGAAAATATATTTATTGCAGATCGATTGGCTGATTAGGCTCACTTTTCTTAACTTGTTACTTTACATTACAGTCAAGATCTAATGTTAGCGTGATTTAATCTTTGAATTGATCAATTTGTACTGTGGCTTGCTTATTATTGTTGGCTTTTAGATGATGAAGTCAGTTAAAAATATTATAATTTCCTTGCATTTTTTTTTTGAAAAATACAATTTGTTTAATCAAGAAATAGTAAAAGAAAAGGGAAGGGTAGACCTTACAGTTGTATTTATTATTTTACTTTGCCAAATTTATCGAGACTTTTTATTTTTATACTTTTTGGAATCCAAGTTTTGGGCTCTATACGACATGCTGATGTGAGTATTATATCACCTAGAATAAGTAGAAGCTAATTGCCAGAGGTTTTTGATCTCAAGAATTGGCAAAATTTGAGGTCGAAATTTTTTCAAAGAAGGGAAGGATGATGGGGGAGCAAAGGGTATATTCATAAATAATTATCTTATTGGACTTTTTAATGTTTGGGTTTGGATTGTATTACAAGCCAAGTTTGTATTGGGTACATTTTATGGGGTTATTTTAGTTCATTTAGGATTTGTTTTATCTAGGTGTTTTTATAATTTTATTTTCTAGTAGAATATTCTAGATTATAGTAGGGTTATATTTTACAGCTTGATTGAATTAATTTCTTTTGATGAACTTTTGCTATCATAGGTTTAGGGAGTTAAACCACACACAAAACTGCAACTTTAGTGCATCTTTTTGTGTGCAACTAACTAAAAATTGAGTATTATCATTGTTACTTTCGTCGGGTCTACTAAGATTTACATCAACTTAGACCACCAGAACTTGACAATTTTGTCAATGTTTATTTTTTAATTTAATAATAATTATTATTATTTTTTTTTAATAAAATCGACCAGGGTGTTTGAAGCTAAGACAAGAGAAGCTAGGGCAGTAAGGATAGAATTGACAAGGAAAGCTTTCTTTTTTGGGAGAAAGATGGTTCCAGTTCATGATCATGGTAGAGATTTTATCTAAGAGAAACTGTTCTATCCTATCCTCCTTGCCTTAAACATTGACCTCTTCTGGGAGATGGCGCCACCAGTGTGGCTTTATCAACTGTTCCTGGTAGCTGGCAAGTTTTCACCATCAAGTCTTGGTTTCCCTTCGGTGTCTGCTCTGTTTCAAGGGTTTTAAGTTATGATTTCTCTCAGTTGTATTCTATCTCTTCATTGAGGGCTTTTAATCCATCTTGGTAGTTCATTTTTTATTAGAAGCGTTGTTATAAGTTGCTCTTTAGTTTAATTGTAAGTTTATGACATTAATCAGGGCTTGGTGAGTAAATCTTGGGAAAGTTGGATATTTAATTCATCTTTTACTCATTGTTGCTAGTTTGAAAGAGGAAAGTAACCTCTTGTTTAAAGCTTGATCTGTCATTCATCACATATCATAAAACTGTAATATTGATATTGTGGTATGCCATTTTATGAGTGTGTAGTCTAAATTTTCTGGTTTGACTATACTTCTTAATCTGAATTCAGTAATTTGTGTGCTTAAAGCTTAAACTGTAAAATTTATTGCAAGTTAAGGAGCTTGATTTTTGGATTGGGAAAGGTGAAAGCCTACTAAAGAAGGGTTAAACTGTCAAAGCTTCCATTAAGCTTAGCAGTTTCTAAGAGTCTTGTAGTGACCTTCCGCGTACCTTGCATTTGTAACTAAATAATAAAAAATAGCTAAATAACACTTCATTGTTGATGGTTGGTTTAACTTATCTCTTAATGAGATTTAGAGGTTTGGAGTTTTTCTATTGAAACCAAAAGAACAGTGAACAATTTCTCCTGGTTTATGAGACGAGGGAATTTTCAGAAGAAGAAGATGAGATTGATGGATTCAAGGAAACAGGTGATCGGGACTGAAATAGGAGACTTGGTGCTTAATCTAATCCCGAGACAAACTATATGCTGTGTCATTGATGCTGAAAGATTATCTCCTAAGAGGCTAAGAACATTATCTTTTATGATGACATCTTAGGAAGCTGGTTTTTGAATATCTAAGGTATATATGTTTTGTCTAAGATGGGTTTGAGGAGCCCAACTTAAGTTTCATGAAAAAAAGAAACCCAAAGTCTACCCTGAAAGTTTTCATACCAAGCTGCAAGGTTATATCGTGTTCTTTTAAGATCAGTGGTTTCCACTTGCTATTAAAGGTCTAGTTGGTTTTGTGATGAGCTTGATGACAATGAAATGTTGTTGGCTGGATTGATGAATTGATTGGGGGCATTTTCTTTGTTTAATTTGGGTATTTAGTGTAGCATTTTCGTTGGCTATTCGGCGATCATTTTTTGGACAATTTAGAGGAGTGTGACAACTAGGGATGAAAATGGATAGGGTCTAGTTATACTCGAATTTCTTGGATTTTTAATCTATACCTATACCTTACCTAGACCCTTAGGGTCTAAAATTTTAGACCCTTACCTGGGTAGGGTTAGGGACCAATTTGGGTCATTCGCCAACTTTTTTCCCCCTAATTTTAATTGTCTATTTTATAGTGTACGATTGTATGTATTGCGCAAAATAAAAATAAAACTTAATACATAAGAACATGACCGACTAATTTGACATTCGTAAATTAATTAAATATAAAAAAATTATTTGAATGATGTATAAACAAATTATTATTATCCATAACCACATTACAATTTAAACTCTCATAAAATTAAGTGCACAACTACAAAGGCCTTGTTTGGTAAATGACTTTTGGCTGGCTTTTTGATTGGCTTTTGGCTTTTTTTTTGGGTCAAACAGCCAAAATACATGTTTGGTAAATAGCTTTTCAGCTAGTTGAAAGTCGCCTTTTCCGCCAAAAACAAAGGCCTTGTTTGGCTGTTGGATGTTGGCTGTTTAACTTGGCTTGTTTGACTGGCTGTTTGACCATTTGTTGTATGTAAATATGTTTGGTAAAATCAGTTGTTAGTTGTTTGCTGTAATTATGCAACTTGACCTTGAAGGATATTATTATGTGTTCATATTCATTTATTATCAGTATTATTAATTACTAAATACTAGTTACTAATTTTTAATTATTAATTACTAATATAAAATACTAACTATTAATTATTAATTACTAACTACTAGTTATTAAGTACTAATTACTAATTTTTAATTACTGATTATTAATTATATATTACTAATTACTAACTGTTAATTACTAACTATTAATTATTAACTAGTAATTATTAATTATTAATAAATAACTAGTAATTATTAATTATTAATTATTAACTATTAATTACTTATTATTAATTACTTATTATTAATTATTAATTACTAATTACTAACTACTAACTACTAATTGCTAACTACTAACTGCTAATTATAGTAAATTATATATTACTAATTACTAATTACTTACTACTTTCTGCATTGTAAATTATATATTTTATGTACCTTTATTCTTTTAGCATAGAGAAGTGTAAGTCTGTAAGAACTTTTTTACAGTAATTATTGGTGTTGCCTGTATTTTCTTTTATCTTCTCACTTGCCAGATAGTCTTCCTGAATTGTATGGTAACTGGCAAGTTGAATTTTCTTAGGTCAGTTGGATGTCCCAACTTAAGAGATCTTTGTTGACATATTCCTATATTTTTGCAAACTTGTGGACTATATATCTATTCTATAGAATGTACACCATACTTAACCGTAATCACAGATATGAGACCACACTCTGCTAACAATAAATTCCAATTATATACAACCAAATTTTTATTTAATTAAAGTTATATGTAAAACTATCAGTATACAATGTGAAATCTATGCAGACCACTGATTACCACATACGTGTTTGGCTCGAGTTCAGTATAGAAGATCATCGTTATTTTCTTCTGCAGCTTCGAACCTTAGTAATTGTATCATATGTATGAGCTAATATATCAAGAAGCTTGTTTTTTCCGTAGCTTGTGCTACTACTCTGTATGAATTATCAAATAAACAGTTGTAGAAAGGTCATATACATACGAACAAATGTGATAATCAATGGTTATTATCTTCTGCAGCTTCGAAATCTTAGTTATTGTCTCATATGTATGAACTAATATCAAGAAGCGTGTTTTTCCCTAGCTAGTGCTACTATGAATTCTCGAATAAATAGTTCATGATAGGCTATAATACATACAAACAACTCTCGAAATTGGCTGGTTGTGGTGAATGGTGAAAATGAAGTATGGGATTATGAAGACTTTATATTGGACCTACACCTACTGGCCAACTGTTTTCAGGAGATTCTTATGGTGAAGTTTATATGTTGTATCATTACCATATATAGTTTGACAGATACACGCAAATAAGAGTGTAAGGCACTGTGTTTGTGCATTTAGCATGAAGTTGATTGCTGGGGGCGGAACTAAGGGAATTTATATTAGGGGGGAAGATTTTTTTTATAGTTTGGATTTTCTGAGTTAAATTTTTTTTTAACTATCTTTTACATTCAATTATAAGAATTGTTTAGAGAACTAAGAACTAGGTTCACGAATAAGAACTAGTTCATGAATTGTTTGGTGCTTTTGTTTATTATTTATAGAATAAGTGTGATGTTATGAAGTAAATGTGGTTAATTTGCAATCTGATATAAACTGCAAGTCTCTAACTGTTTCAACGTCATTGTTTCGCACTCTCTCTGTCCTAGAGCTATGCTTGCTTCATAGAATGTAGATTATGGAAGGTTGTAAGTGTAGTTCCCAACTTTAGGTAAACATGTGATGGGAATTATTTATACTGAAGGACGAAAGTACTGCGTAAATGTGCTAGATAGTAAAAACAGAGTGTAGGTGACATAGCTGATATACTTTTATATGATTGATACTGGTTGAAATGAAGTGAAAATAGTACAAAAGACATGGTTTTGTGGTAGAACCTCTTATATAGAGTTTTGAATAATTATACAGAAACATACTACAGACTACAGACTACAGACTGGAGTACATAAAAATTATACAGAAGCATATTACGGACTACAGACTATAGATTGGAGTACATAAAAATTTTACAGAAGCATATTATAAACTACAGACCTGGAATACATAAAAAAGAAATGTAGTATGAAATCTCAATATTTGCAGAACTGAAGTTCATATTTTGCAAGTGTTGGAGGCATCGCCAACATTCGATTGATGGTTGTCGCCCACATCTTGTAACGCTGGTAATCATCAGCCATGTCTATCTTTATAGGCCCCCTTGTCGTTGTTAACACGATTTGATAACAAGTATCAAATTCTTCTCCTCCTTCATCCTTGTAAAGTTCAGCATGCAGATCAAGAACTAGACCTGAAATTTTTTACCAGTTTATTAATTTAGTTGTCTGAATTAAGAAGCTAGTTTCTTAGTGCAGTTTATTTAGTGATCAAAAGTTGTTGCTTACAATCCTTCTTGTTTGTGATGACATTTAAAAAATTGCGTTTCATGATCCTCAGAATCACCTGTGACAGCAAAAACTGCATTTAGTTTTCTGCTGTTTTCGTGATATAAAAGCTTTTTTTGCATTCTTTCCCTGTAATGTCTTTCTTTCCAATCTGAGATATAGTAATACAGTAGTTGAGAGCAAAGAGAAGTGTTCTGTTTCTTACCTTTGCCTCGTTGCTTAGATTAATAGCGACAATCCTCACCATGCTCTTTCCTGTTAATTCATCCCATATAGTAGAAGATTAGAGAACTCAATTGAGAATTTTAGAACTTATGAAACCTTGAAATATAGCAGTAGTTGTCAACTTTTACTAATAAGAGTAAATGTAGTCCCTGAAGATTCATGCATGCTGGACTATTGATCTGTTGGTGATTTTCAAGAAAGGTAGTCGATTATTTAATCCATTAATATTAATTATGTTACTCCGTATTATAATTATTGTCATCTATCAAACGGGTTGTTAGGACTTTTATTAATACCCAAGACATCTATTGAAAACATATGATTTAGAAAAGTGTACTTATTTGTACTGATATCTAAATGTGCCAAAAGGTTCCTCTCTAGTTGTTTTCCCATTTCGTGGGCACACAGCACCAAAATTAGATTTGCCGACAAATTATTTTACAAGGTATAATTTTATTTTCAAATATCTGACTTGTACAAGATATTATTCGACTTAATGTTGTTGGTGACGTTCATAATATTAGCTTGATTTTGTTGATTTGACATTATTCGATTTATTTTTAATAAGAAACAAAATGTGTAAAGACAAAAATGCGTCTAATTATGGTTAATCATGCCGATTAATTGTCGGAAATTGGAATTGTAGGATAGCTCAATATCTGGCCCCTTTCATGCTTTTTGTTCTGACAGTGATGCCTTTATTGAGAAACAGATGCAATATATATATATATATAAAAAAAAAAAGGAAAGGCAAATGTTGGTACCATTAGCAGTCTCGATAGTGAGCTCAGCACCCTTGGATAAAGTAGCTCTTGATTTAACATAATCAAGATCTTCATCAAGCTTACAACTATCCACATCAATTGGCAGAACTGGCTCGCCATTT